GCAGACGCTCAAAACTGCTTCTCTTCAGGCATCACGGGGGACACCTGGGGTCCTGCAGGGAAAGATGGAGGTCCCAGGGTCGCGAGCCGGCAGCTGTTCTGACCTGGAATTAAGATGAGATGGGCGCCGCCTCAGGTCAGGAGTCCCAACTAGATACTTTAAATTGATGCTTGCCTTCAAAATAAGGTACTTAGGGGCTTGACCTGGAGGAAGAGTGACCTCCAGAAGAGCATTTGAGAGTAGGGTGGAAATGTGACCCTGATTTTTTTTTTTTTTAGAAAAAACAAACACTGAGCCTTTGAAGGGTCCTGGAGAGGTTTGAATCATAGGATAGTTGACACAATAGGGGCTTATTCTAGGGTATGTGATTCTAGCACGGGAATCAGAAATAACTTCCCCAACTTATCCTTTCTCTTCTTTCTTTGTACAGATAATACCTTACAAGAAATGGTTACTTCAAATGCTTCCTCAGTGACGGAATTTATACTTGAAGGTCTAACCCAGTGTCCAGAGCTTCAGTTGCCGCTCTTCCTCCTGTTCCTGGGCATCTATGTGGTCACGGTGGTTGGGAACCTGGGCATGATCCTCTTAATCGCAGTCAGTTCTCAGCTTCACTCTCCAATGTATTTTTTTCTCAGTCATTTGTCATTCATTGATCTCTGCTACTCCACTGTAATTACCCCAAAGATGCTGGTGAACTTCGTGTCAGAGGCGAACACCATTTCCTTTCTGGAGTGCATGACTCAACTTTATTTCTTCCTCATTTTTGTCATTGCGGAAGGCTACCTTCTGACAGCCATGGCCTATGACCGCTACGTTGCTATCTGTCGCCCCCTGCTTTACAATGTTGTCATGTCCCGTAGGGTCTGTTCCATCATGATGTTTGTGGTGTATTCACTGGGTTTTTTTGGGGCCACAGTCCATACTACTCGCATGTCCATGTTGTCTTTCTGTGGGTCTCATATCATACGTCATTATTTTTGTGACATTCTCCCCTTGTTAACTCTCTCTTGTTCCAGCACCCACATCAATGAGGTGCTGTTGTTTATTATTGGAGGAGTGAATACCTTAGCACCTACGCTGGCTGTGCTCATCTCGTATGCCTTCATCCTCTCCAGCATCCTCCAGATTCGCTCCACGGAGGGTCGCTCCAAAGCCTTTGGCACCTGCAGCTCCCACCTCATGGCTGTGGGCATCTTTTTCGGGTCTATCACATTCATGTATTTCAAGCCCCCTTCTAGCAATACTATGGAACAGGAGAAGGTGTCGTCAGTGTTCTACACCACAGTGATCCCCATGCTGAACCCCCTGATCTATAGCCTGAGGAACAAAGATGTGAAGAAGGCCCTGAGGAAGTCACTGGCGGGAGGGTCATCCTCCTGACTGAGGGAATCTCCCAGGGACAAGAAAAATGAGCCTGATAGGGAAGGGAAGGAAGGTCCCAGAGTCACTTTACACCTTCTGTGTTAATCCCAGTTGGTCATCCCTCTGATCTGACCTATGTCCACCATTTCCCTTTGGTGAAGGAACACAATGCTTGGAGAGAATGGAAACACAATCGCACTGGTGGTTTCATGTGCTGGCACAGTCATCCAACATCAGTGTCCAATCCCAGATCACTCTGCTCTTCTGTAGCTCTCTAAGTTGGTTCATGAGGCAGCTGAGAATCTAGTGATGGGATTTGGCAACTGTTGTTGATGAGTGAGAACACTAAAGTTTTCATCATATTTGTAGTTGTAGAACTGTTCATTTGATGACTGAGAGAACCATGGTTCAGAAAAATTGCTAGGGGCTGGCTGGGGTCACAGTACTTTTAAATAAAATTAAATGACTAGTAAAATTAAATTAAGTGTTTGACAATAGAATGGAATGAAAGAAATGAATTTGTCATGAAAAAGTTACTCCATCACACACTGCACAGTATCCAGCTCAGGTCAGATGATCTAATTTCCATCTTTGTTCTTTACACTTAAAAAATGTGTAAGTTCAGAAAAACAGAAACTCTTGTGTATTTAAGATGCATTGACTTGCTATTAAAGAACATATTCTCTTTGTTAGTGCCTTTTATACTCCAAGGCAATAGAGCATAATGACATTTGGAATGAATGAAGAATATGTCCTTTGTACAGTGAAACAAATAATTTTGTTCGAGTAAGCACAAAGATCTCAAACTGAGTTCTTTAATTGTTTGCCTGAATACCATTTGAATGCATATTTATAGTTTTTAATATATTAACACATTGCACAGAAAAAAGAGCTCAGCATTAAAACTTTGCTGTATTTTGTTTTCCTTAACCTGAATAAATCAGTGATTCACAGACACAAAACGTATCTGGTGGGGCCAGAGCGATAGTACAGTGGGTAGGGAATTTATCTTGCATGTGGCAACTCGGGTTTTATTCCCAACATCCCATTTGGTCCCTCAAGTACCATCAGGAATAATTCCTGAGTGCAGAATCAGGAGTAATCCCTGGACATCACTGGGTGTGGCCCCCTTCAAAAAATACATGGTAATGCAAAATTCCAATCCTTATAAGTAAAGTAAAGTAAAGGCCCTCCCGTTGTTCGTCGATTTGCTCGAGCAGGCCCAGTAACGTCTCCATTGGAGACTTTGTTGTTACTGTGTTTGGCATATCGAATACGTCACGGGGAGCTTGCCAGGTTCTGCCGTGCGGGCGAGATACTCTCGGTAGCTTGCCGGGCTCTCCGAGAGGGGCGGAGGAATCGAACTCGGGTCAGCCATGTTGGCTGCATGCAAGGCAAATGCCCTACAGCTGTGCTATGGAGCGATAGCACAGTGGTAGGGCATTTGCCTTGCATGCAGCCAACATGGCCGACCAATCCTTATAAAAAAGACTTTTATATATTAAAATTACTCCCCTCTTGGAGAGCCCGACAAGCTACCGAGAGTATCTTGCCTGCACGGCAAAACCTGGCAAGCTATCCGTGATGTATTTGATATGCCAAACACAGTAACAGTTGTCACAATGGAGTCGTTACTGGGCCTGCTAGAGAAAATCGATGAACAACGGGAGGACAGTGACAGTGACAGTGTCACCCCCTCCTACTATGACCTTTGAATTCCAGATGGATAGTTATCTATTTTTACCACATAGTTCAAGGCTTACTCCTGGTTCTGTGCTCAGGGATAATTCTGTAGGGACTGGAAACCCAACTAGATTGAGATGAATTCTGAAATATTGAGTGTCAGGGACTGAACTCAAGTTGGCCACATGCAAGGCAAGTGCTTTGCCCCTGCATTATGTCATTAACATTCTTCCTACCAATTTTAATATTTTGTTTCATTTAATTATTGTATCACATAAGTTATTTCCCATCCCTGAGCCATATCCAAGATCCCTTATCACACCAATATGATGTTTAGAAGAAGTAAACATTTTCTTATTCCTAATCTTTGAAGGAAGGCATCTAGTTCTCTACCATGAAGTATGATGGAGCCACAAAAGGTCTTGTAAGCTCTGGAGAGAAATTCCTGATGTAACTATGTCAAATCCAGTAAGAATATACAGAGGAGGGAGGTCATGCCTTTCCTATGTGGATCACTATAGCTCCCATTAGGATGCTTAGTCAATATTCCAGAATTCATCTGACTGGACCTAGTAGTGGTCAAAAGTACTAAAAATCTAAGAGCAGTTGTGAGTGTGCCATGATTCTGGAACAGAGCAGAGGGCTGGACTATATATTGATGTAATTAAGAACAGTGTTGCCAGAATTGTTTGTGATCATCTTACAGCCGTTCCACATGGGAGTCACTCTCATGTTCTGGACAATTTTTTTTTCCTTCTGAGGACAAATCATGTACATTGGGAATTCCTTTATTCTGCATGTGTTGTTGTTTGGGTGCAAACACAACCCGATAATTGCTTTTCGTCTTCTGGGGAGAATTTTCCCTCTGAGAATATTTCTTGGATATTGGGATCCTGGGAGAAATCAGAATCACTCATCTCCTTGGAGGTCAAAGTCCTGTGATCAACAAGCCCATATATTCCTTTGCTTGGAAAGGGAAGCTCAGGATATAGGAGATGGAAGGGGACCAGATTTCTGTGGAGTCAGTGTCACTAAATCTTAGCCCTCTAGCAGATCTCACCCATCCAGCTCCATCCTTTTTAGGAAAGCAGAAATGAGGGGCCTTTTCTAAGGAGACACCGTGAATTAGAGATACAACTGGAGTAGAAACCCAACTTTGGAGATGGTGAGAATGAGGCTTTATTTCTTCATTTCCAATCACTGCCCTTTAATTTGTAATTTTTTTTAAAGTGTTAGATGTTGGTAATGACACTGAGCTGAAACCGGTGATGCCGGCCCTTTTGCTTTCTGTGAGATGATCTCACAGAAGATCTTTCCAGATTAAAAAAAAAGAAGAAGATATAGCAGAGTATTCACTCATTGGAATACCAAACTTGGAATAAAGTCTAACTAGGGTCTGAGATTCTCTATCAGATCATCCTTCACCCTTGGATATGAGGTTCCTGCCCATTTCGTGTCGGGTCTGTGTGTTGGGGTGTGTGTATTTGCTGAATATGTTCCATGTGCACAAAGGGCCTATGAAGTTTCACAAGTACTTTCTTAAGACATAACAAAGCTCGATTTTAACACCAAGATTCCAGACGATTGCTGGTTCTTTCCTACTCCAGATACTAAAGCAATCTTTGAGGATACGGAAATGCCAGCTCTTGCTTATCAGATATTCTATGAGACTATCGGAGACATTGTATTAATTTTTTTCTTTTATTTTTTTGTACTTTTAGTTAAGCGAAAATAGATTCACTACTGATGTGAAAATACAATTATCAACACAGTTGAGTTTTTGATAACTTATAATTATTATAAAATTAGGTAATATAAAGTATGTCTCAACTGCATGATCATACTTTTCACTTCTCTCCCACTACTAAGTGTATCATCAGACTTAGTAACATCCCTTTCTTAATTTCTGTGGTTTCTCTTTTTCCTAGTCACACATTCCCTGTATCCTGAAGGAAATGACCAGGTGCAATAACTCCACTGTGACTGAGTTTGTCCTGGAAGGATTAACAAACCGGCCAGAACTCCAGCTGCCTCTATTCTTCTTGTTTCTAGTTATCTATGGGGTCACTGTAGTGGGGAACCTGGGCATGATCCTCTTGATCACTTTTAACTCTAAGCTCCAATCCCCCATGTACTTTTTCCTTGGTAATTTGTCATTCTTAGATCTCTTTTATTCCTCAGTTGTTACCCCCAAACTCCTGGGAAACTTTGTATGGGAGAAAAATGTTATTTCTTATCCTGGATGTATGACCCAGCTCTTCTTCTTTTGTGTTTTTGCTATTGGAGAGTGTTTTATGCTCTCTGCCATGGCGTACGACAGATATGTAGCTATCTGTAATCCTCTGCTGTACAGTGTCACCATGTCCCAGAAGGTTTGCAATGTCTTGGTGATTGGGGTTTACACTGTGTCCACATTGGGAGCCTTAGCCCATACAGTTGCCATGACTAGGGTCTCCTTCTGTGGGGACAATGTCGTCCACCATTACTTCTGTGACATATTTCCTCTTCTTAAGCTTGCCTGCTCCAGCACCCACATAAATGTGCTTCTTGTCATACTTGTTGGTGGATTCAATTTATTGACTACAACTTCAACCATCTTTATCACTTATGTTTTTATTATTGTAAGCATTCTTCGAATCCCTTCCGCTGAAGGCAGGTCCAAAGCCTTTGGTACCTGTGGCTCTCACCTTACAGCAGTTGGCGTCTTTTATGGCTCTCTGATATTTATGTATTTTAAGCCATCTGCCAGCACCAGCAGCATGGCCCAGGAAAAGGTGGCCTCTGTGTTTTATACCACAGTCATCCCAATGTTGAATCCCTTGATCTACAGCTTGAGAAATAAAGATGTGAAGAATGTGCTCAGAAAAGTCATGGGGATGAGATAAGGGGTAGAGTCACAAATGCCGAAATTCCTGGCAGTAGAATGACTATTCACTTTTCTCCCTTCTTTTATTAGAACTAGAAGGTTTTCTGTTTCTAATAGTTACATCTCATTCTCATTTACTATTGGAATGTGTTTTATATATATAGTACATGCATACACACAGCTATTCTCCATAATGTTATGCTTCAGTTGGTCATTGATATCATTAAGTTTATTTTCATATCATAAGTTTATTTTTAAAATTTTTCTGCGGTGAATTTTCATGGGTCTTAATCCTCTACTGTTGAGCAAGACACAGGTGGAATAAAATAAACCCTGGACCATGGAGACAGACCAAAAATATTGGCAAATTATGATTTGGTGGTTCCTTGCAGATCCTCCCAACTTTTTTTCCTATGCATATTCTTTCCCCTACAAGTATATTTATTACAGAAATAAAACTTCCCCTAGTGTGTAAAGCAATCACAAACAGATAAACATCTGACTCAAGGCCAATCAATAATGCAGTTTATCTGAAAGGCAGCTTCCTCCCCTCAAAGCTTGAGGCAGCAGAGAACTCTGCCTTTTCAGAGTTCGCCTACTTAAGGGAGAGATTTTTTCTTAGCAGCATGGCAGCACTGTGTGCACAAACCTGCACCTGAGTACAGCCCCAATCAGTTCTCTTGGGGTCACTCTTTCTTCCTGTTTTACTGCAGATGGTAGGTATCAAGAATCCTCTTTTCCCACCATTACCCAGATAGGCATTGTAATAGACCCAGTCTGTTCTGCAACTCTGACTTGGACACCAGTTAATTTTGAACTCTCAATTACATCATACTTTATTGTGGGGCCTAGGTGTGGGGCACCTCATTTGGCGATCAGGGTCCTTGTGGTGCAGGGGACTGAATGCGGCTTCCCAAGGCAAAAGTCATGCTCCATCTTTTGAACTATCTACCTGGTTTCTGACATTCTGTCTGCTCTCCTGTTGGGCAGGGAAGAAGGCAAGTTTCTTCTAGGTTTATCTCCTTACCATTCTTATTCCAAAGTTACCTTTTGCAAGCCTAAAGATGTAGAGTGAATTTTATATTTAGCCTAAGTGTTGCCTCTTTTCACACCAAGTAGTTTCAGGGCAGTGAAGAACTTTGTGATTACATGAACTCACTATACTTACCAAGAAGGGTCATGCCACTCTACAGATACATGTATTCATTAAATGTCAGTGCCCCTGTGAGAATACAGTTCCTCACATGTGATTTATGAAGAAAAATCATCATACAATAGCATGTAAATCAAGATAGATAGACCTGTGGTGTGCCATGCATTCATGTTTTGCATTGAAATGCTCAGATGGATGTATGCTTCAGCTGTTCTATTCCTGTTTGGGCCATTTATATATTTTCATCTTAAATCAACATTTTTTGTGTAGTCCAAGTAGATTTGTTAAACTCAATATTGATTTGGAATGTTAAATAACCTAGACAAAAATGTAGCATGAAATGGGGGATATTTAGGCAATTAAGGCCTACCAGATTTAAGTATGTAATCTGATTAGTCATTACAGATATATGAACTCTTCTCTCCCCATGTATTCTTCTATCCACCCACTCATCCTTCTATATACACTCAGGAAGCCATCATTGTGTCAATACAGAGAGTTTATATTTAATCCTTAAACATTTCCTCATTTCCTTGGAATATCTGCCCACCACATCGCTATATTTTCAGTAACTGTACTTTCATTGTCAGGAATTACAACAAATTAATTTTTACCACATGTACTTATTTTCTCTGGTTAATTTTATTCACTGTAATATATGACTTTGACGCATATTGTTGTGTGTATCAATGGGTGATTCTTCTTATGTAGCAAGCTCCCCGTGGCATATTCACTATGCCAAAAACAGTAACAAGAAGTCTCACAGTGGAGATGTTACTGGTGTCCGCTCCAGCAAATTGATGGACAACGGGAGGACAGTGCTACAGTGCTATGTAGGTAGTATTCTCATGTATGTTTTAGTTTTAAGCTATGATAATTGTTTCTAGTTTGGGTCTGCATGAAATAAAGATAGTACAAACATCTGTGTGCAAGTCTTTCTGTGGGTGTATGCTTTCATTTAATATACTGAATAGAAGGGTGTGGGTTGCATCCCGATGCAGGTATGCATTTAGATTTCTTAGAATGAAATTTGGTGATGATGTCATTTTACATTCCACCTGCAGTTTAAGAGATAGAATTTCTTTTTTAAAAAACAGTTTTATTATTTTATTTTTAAAAATTTTGTTGAATTACCATAATTATTATGTAGTTAAAATTATTCATGCTTGTGTTTCAGGTATACAATGCTATAATCTCTTGACCAGTGTTCTTTTCCCTATACCATGTCCCCAGTTTCCCTCCCATCCCCTTCCCACAACCTGCCTCTATGACAGGCACTTTTCCCTTTTTCTTTTTCCTTTAAGCACTGTGGTTTGCAGTACTGTTACTGAAAGTATATCATGCATATCACTTGACCTTCTTTCAACACCAGATTTCACCCAAAGTGGCCACTTTCCTCTATCATTATTGTAGTGGTCCCTTCCCTGCCCTAACCCCCTCTTCCACCACTGTGGCAAACTTACTACAAAGGACCAATTCGTCTGCCCTTTGTTCCTATTATCTTTGGGTACTATTCTCCCCCCCCCCCCAAAGAACAAGATATTTATCCATGCAGTTATAAAATGACTCATGGCAATAATACAGTTAAAATAAGATAACCCAGAATGCTGCTGTGCAGTGTCAATACATCAAATGATTCTCCCTCACCCCAAAAACAGAGCTGAAAAGGCCATACAGGGATGCAAGAAGTTGAAGAGAGTCAGGTCATGTAGGAAGACATACAGGAAAGGGCTATTAGAAGACAAACTGGACATTTTTTCTTACCGGAAAGTTCTTTTTACATCCATTTTCATGTTTTCTGTGTTTTTCAAAATATTTGATATTAAAAAATAAACAATGCTCATGTTTATTCAGAGATTCTGATGTTCCCAAGCTAAGGGACTTAGAGAGATTTAAGTGCATTGTCACAGGGCAATAAGAGAGACTGACCTCAGAGCTACTACTCATACCTCTTAACTACTCCTTTCTATACGCACATGAAGAAAACAGTATTTTGTAAAAGGACACTTTTAAAATTTTACTCAGTGTACACCCTGGAGAGCAGTCATGGCCATTTCTTTATAATAGACACCCGTGTTCTCAGCAAACCAAGAATTCTTCAGGGCAGCAGGGCATTATTCTTTATATCTCAAAAGTGAGTGTGGTCATTCTGTGCCCGTCCCTTTTCCTCTGACCATTTCACTCAGATACTCTCCATGTCCATCCATATATCAGCAGATTCCATGTATTCATCTTTTCTAATGGCTGCATAGTATATCTTGAATGTCAGAACTTTAACAATATCTCGGTGGTATAGAGTCTGAATTCTGACCTTATTCTTCTATACTAACATTATGATAGTTAAATATTCTTTTACCTTTCCACAGAACTTCCTGCCATTTTGGAAATTACCACAAAACTGCACTGATTATATATATATAATATATATGTATATAAAAGCATCTATCTGGCTAGTTGGATAATAATTATACATTAATGCATGGCAACTGGATAGTGCTGACCTAGTTACATATATTCTTAGAACACCTCTCTCTTGTCTCATTTCTTTTTGTTTCTTCCATCATATTTTATGGTTAAGTTTATATAGGTAATGTACACATTTAATAGATATAAAGAATTTCATTTGTTTATTTGTGCTGTTATGTATTGTACTTCAAATTCTAAATATATATATCTGGAATATGAGAAAAGTTGATTTTTGTAGATAAAAATTATACCCTGTGGTCATACTGTGAGCATATAATTCCAAAAGGATTTTCTGGGGTCAGAGTAGTACATAAGATAGGGAATTTGCCTTGTATATGGCTGACCAGGGTTAGATTCCCAGAACCCCATATGCCCCCCTGAACACCACCAGGAGTAATTTCTGAGTGCAGAGCCAGGAGTAACCCATGAGCATTGCTGGATGTGACTCAAAAATATTTCTACCCAGACAATCAAGTCATATGTGATCAAAAATGATATTCTTTTTATCATTTAAAATACTTTATTTAGTTATTTTTATCACATATGATTTATCTCATATGAAGTTTGTATCCTTTATTTCTATCAACCTCCCCCCCCCCCCACATACACCAATATAGTATTTAAAGGGAGCAGAGAGGCAGGAAATTTTTGTCTTGCTCTAATCTTGGAAGAAAGTATCTGGATCCCCACTAAAAGTCTGATGGAGCTACTGAAGTTACATACAGATTTTGAAGAGAAAATTTGAACATAACTGCATCAAATCCAGTAAGAATATACAGAAGACGAAAGTGACTTTCCTCTGTGGATCAATTTGCTCCCATTAGAATGCTTGGTCAATATTCCAGAATTCATCTGACTTGGCCTTATTGGTGCTGTAAAGGAACTAAAAATCTAAGAGCAATTGTGAGTGTGCCATGATTCTGAAACACAGAGCAGAGGTCTGGGACTATATATTGACATGATTAAGAACAGCCTCACCAAAATACTGCCTTTCTGTTTGTAATCATCTTCCAGCCATTCCAGATGGTAGTCACTATCATGTTCTGCCAACATTTTTTCCTTCCAGGGACAAATCACATACATTGGAAATTCCTTTACTGTTTGCGTTGTTGTTTGAGTGCACACATAACTTAATTGCTTCTCATCTTCTGGGGAGAATTTTACCTCTGAGAATATTTCTTGAATGTTGGGGTCCTAGGAGACTATTGGAATCACTCGTCTCCTTGGAGGTCAAAGTCCTGTGAACACGTATACCCTTGTCTAGAAATGGAAGCGCAGAAAAAAGAAATGGAAGGGGATGAGATAGCTGTTCACCTTTTGCTCTAACGCGTATTCTAGATCACCCAGCTCCATCCTTTTCAGATTAAAGCAGAGCAGTAGGGCATTTCCTAAAGAGATAC